CCAGCGCTAGCACTGGAGGAGCAATCAGGGGAGAAGAAGATGCTCCCCACTGTGATCTGTGGGTCACTTTTTGAGAAAGTGGTGATCACAGACGGGTAGATAAAGTGCTCATGGTTTCAACGGGCGTTCTTACAATTACTCAACATGTGTTTATTCTGTGTCGGTATTGTCCAAGGTACTGATGGTATAAAGATGAATAAGACACAGCCCCTGCCCTCACAATTGATATGTAATATGGCTTGCCAGATTCCTGATGTGGTCAGCATTCATCAATAGAGAGACGCCCAACATGCTGAGGGCAGCAGAAATGTGTGCTTACCCAGCCTGGGTGAGTCTCGAAAGGCTTCCTGCAGAAGGTGGTGCTCGTGCTGAGTCTCGAAGGGATGAGTAGGAGGCAGCAAGGACCGAGATGTGGCATTTAGTGGCCTGGGTAGCCTTGGCGAGAACACCTCCAGTGGCGTGGCAGCCAGATCTGCACTGCCTGCTGGAGAAGTGAGTGAGTGGTGAGGTGTCCGATGGGGCTGAAGAATCCCAGTGCGAGGTGGGGAAGCCTGAGATAGGTTTGCTAGTAGGACAGGAGATGGTGGTCAGAGGGTGGGATTCTCTCGGTTGAGATTTCAGAGGCAGTAAGAGAGGCAGGGCCATGACCATGAGAGTGAGTGGCTGGAAGGAGGAGGAGCAAGTCACTGAAGCTGAAGTGGAGGAACTGGGAGGCCAGGGTTAGGTGGCTCCTCCATGCAGATGCTGCAGTCAACCCACTGCTGACAGAAGCCGGGATGAAAAGGAAGGCAGTGACCAGAGAGAGTTATCAATGATTGCGTGCAGGCGACCGAAAGGTGGGAGGAAACAGCAGAGAGATACCAAGCACGCCTTCTGATGGCATGAACATCAAAGGGCTGAGGTTGAAGGGTTCTCTTTGAGTAGGGAGGACACATGTCAACGATGATAGGAAGGCGACAACAAGGAGTATTGGGAGACTTGTGCAGATTTTTGAAGAGATCCATCTACGGCAGTCTCGGTTTTCATCGTGAAGTAGGAGGAACGGCCTCTTTTTAGAAGAGCTAAGAGCTAAGTGAGGCTCCTTGAAGTAGGCGCTGAGAGGAATTGGAACGATCTCTCCACAAGGAGATGTAGAAGCATTAGCAGCTCTGCTGAGGGACCATGGAGATCGATGCCCCAACTCCTCCTCGGTGCCCCAACAGCTCAATCAATGTGTTTCCTGGGGAGTATATGGTACCAGCTATGGAGTGGGTGGTAATAACTCCCTTTGAAAGAATATATTTCTTAATTAAAATATTTGGTTATTGTAGAAAAGTTAGAAAATGTAGAAAAACTCTGAAAAAGTTCCCCCCCAAAACTACTAATTATTCAGCCACTCAGAGATGATTACTTTTTGCATTTGATATATTTCCTTGCACTATTTACCTTGTGTGAATGTATCTGTATATTTGCATAAGGTATGTATATGTGTGTGTGTTTGTGTGTGTGTGTGTGTGTATATATGTGTGTATATATATACATATATACACATATATATGCAACAAATTTGGGATTATAATTACTTCTTACATGAATGTTCTTCTAGAGTTGACATACAAAGTCATAAAATAGATTTTTTTTCCCCCCTGAGAATATTGACAAGTATTCAGAAACACACAAGCCAGTGAGCTCACAACAATCTAAAAGCTTCTATGTGAGCATTGGATGGAGGGAGTCGCTTGGGGAGCATTTGGCCACAGCTCTCTGTAACCAAGTAAAATCACCTCTTCCTAGGAATGCAAGAAGCAACACCAGGAGGTCATATCGGTTTACAGGATGCATCTTCTGTACGCTGTGCAGGTATGGTAACGCGCTGCGAAGTGCCCGGATGCCTGCAAGAAATACTGCAGTCCACGTTGCCCCAAGTCCCGTCATCAAACTAGTAGAACGAATGAGAATTCGAGGAGAACCCTGTACCTAGGAAAGCTTTCAAATGCCTTCCGCCCGGCTTTGGATTCTGTGTCGGGAACCCTGTCCTAACTGCTGAGAGCGACCTCGGCATTCCTGGAGAAATAGGAGGACGCAGCTGCCGCTCCCCCACCCGCCAGCTGCCCACCCTCAGGATCGGGAGCCCGGGCTTGATGTTCGAGGCTTGTCCATATTTTCACTGCCGCTGGTTTGGCTCTCTGGGCTCATATGTGCTACGGAGACCCCAGACACCCTTTGCTGGGGCTCTGTCAGTCTCGGCCTGGTCCTCCTCCAGGGGTTCGAGAGCAGGGCCCTCCCAGTCTCAGTTCCCTAGAGAAATGTGGGGATTGCTAGGGGTAACTAACATTCCTTGGGAAGATCGGGGGCTCGGGGCTTCATCCCAGCCAGCCATCTCATTCCCTCGGTGAGACAGGACTTCACTGAGGTTCCAATGACTCTCTTCTGTTCGACCTTCTAGGGCCAGATGGATGAAGATGTCCAGAAAGTTCTGAAGCAGATCCTTACCATGTGTAAGACCCAGGCCCAGAAGAAGTAGAGTGGGTTCCCCGGCGGGACACTGCCCCTCGCTGTCCGCCTTGGGGTTGGACCGGGGTTGCTGGCGACCACTGCCCTTGTTCTCGTCCGTGGTGTGCGCCGGGACCTGCCTGGCTTCTGCCCTTGCAAGGCTGCTTTCTGAGGACTGGCCCCGGAGAAGACTGTCCCCCCAGAGCTGCGGGGAGACTGAACAGCGGCAGAGGGGACAGGCGCTGTCATCGCTTCCGATTCCAGGGCTGGGTGGGCCGCGCCCAGGAGCCGGGCCTGGTGCTGGGGCGTGGGCCCCGGCCTGGCGCCTGACCGGCTGTGTGGCCCCGTCCTCACTGAGCGACCTGTGGACACCGCTGCGCAGTGAATGCCGCCGGGTTCCTCCGCGCTGGCTGGGCCGCCAGCGCAGGGGAGCCCCCCGCCCCCCCTTGCCTCTGGTTTCCAATCCGCAGACATGATTTGACTTCTAAGCAGATCGGTGCAGCGCTAGTGATGCGGTGCCCGCCTAGGACCCTTTACCCGATGTCCTGTGGGTTTGAAAACCCTTAATCCCATCTTCCCCCCCATCTGCCTTAGGTGGCTCGTCACCGGCTGGGCAGTCTGAGCTTGATGAGCACCGTTCACTAAAACATGAAGCTTAGAAACAAAAGCAAACTGCCCTTAAGAAGTTTTTAAGTAAATCGTGGACGTGTTGCAAATTCTCTATGCAAACTTGCCTTCTGCCGTTACCCGCGAAGCTCAGGAAATCCAAACAGTCGTGTTTCAACAAGGGACAGTAAACTGCGTGTTTACAGCCAAAAGAAATGCCTCATCGTTCTTAACCTCAATTTTTTAAAAGTCGTGTTTTTTTCCTCTCTACAGTATTTTTATTGGCTCTTAAAGATGTTTTCATATCTAAACCCCTTGAGTAAGTGAAATTCACATGAGACTCTATTAACAAAATATTTTTTAGGTAACCATGCTTAAGACTTTTTAGAAATAGGACTTTTTCCTCAAAGTTTTCAGCGATAGCAAAAGGTAGTTATATATTCCAAGCTCAGTGTGAGCTGCCAGACCCTCAGCCCTAGAGCGCGTTTCTGAAGAGAGTGAGTCCTCCTTGTACCCGGTGAACACTTTTGCATGCCCGGCTCTGCCAGCGCCCAGAGAGGATCTCTGCAAGAACTGTTAGTAACAGTCTGTGTTTCAACTTGGAGACGAGAAACCCCGGTATGGTAAACATCGGGGTGCATGGCAAAGGTCTTTGGGGGGAAATGTTTCTGTTCCCTTTCTTTCCTTTCAGGTTAAAAAAAGAAAATGTTTCTAACTTGCTTGCCACTTCCCTGTCAGCGTGGATCTTCCTGAGGGATGTAAACAGAAAACGGAAATCTGCCAAGTGTGTAATTAAAAGCGCAGGCCTGCTCCGACAGGGCCCGGACCGCAGGGCCGCCCCGGCCGAGGGAGCTTGGCTGCACTGGATGCCGACCAAGGCCAGCCAAGCAGAAACGGCTGTCCAGCTCCATGTTCCTTTCCCTAAGTTGTTTATAGTTAAGCAATTTCGAAAATGCTGCAAAGAAATGTGAAAGGACTTTCCGTCACAGCACTTACGGAGACACGGAACACCCCTCGCGCCCCGCACAGAACGCTGCGGAGTGGGAGACTGGGAGACTGCAGGGTGCTTGACACAGCCGCCTCTTAGCGCGTCTCAGGATGCATATTTATTGCAAATACTCCGGTTAGATATTGGAACGCCGTGTGCCGTAGGGTAGCACTCTGCCTTTGTGATGTACTGAAGGTATGACGGAAATAAATTTCTGTTCCATTTTGCATCTCTGCTGCTGCTTTTTGTTGCTCCCCCAGCCCTGCGTTCCCGTCCCCACAGGCCACAGCTATTTTCGTGTGATCTGAGACCTTCCGAGTCGGAGTGTCCGCGGGGGCGTGTGTTTTACTTTCCCCTTTAAATGGAGAAGCATACTTCACACCCTCTTCTGGGCCTTAGTTTTCCACTTAAAAGTCCTGGAGATTACTCTCTGCCAGCACACACAACTCATGCTTTTAAACCAGGCGTGGGGAACCCTTTTCTGCCAAGGGCCATTTGGAATATTTTTATAACATTATTTGAGGGCCGTACAAAATTATCAACTTAAAAATGAGCCTGCTGTATTTGGTCAAATATTTATTTAACTCAATCCTAATGCCTTGGCAGGGCCAGACCAAATGATTTCCCGGGCCTCACACAGCCCGTGGGCCAGACGTTCCCCACCCCTGCTAAACTGTTGCATAATATGTCATAGTATGATTGTGCTATATTTTATTTAACTAGCTCCTCGCTGATGGGCATTTAATCTGCTTCCAGTAGTTTACAGCCCTGACAACGATGCGATGACTGTCCTATCTGTAAACATCTATTCATACGCGTGAGGATTTTCACCCTCCCTCTCACCCTGTGATACAGGAGCACAGAGGAAAAGCAGTGGGGTAGTGTATGCATCATCACAGCGAGTGAGAAAGAATGGCCTTTTTCTTCATACTGGTTAAGAATCATCAATTTATTTTCCGTACATAAACCTAAGCCTAAGCTGGACTCCAAAGCTTTTAACAATGAACCCCACCCTCCTTAAGATAAACACATGATGCACTGTGTGGAGAACACGCTCCCCAACATGTTGAAGCACAGCCTTTCTCCATGCGACACAGCTGTGGCATGCCGGGTGCTGACCGCAGCAGAAACATTATCCAGCAGAGATGGGGTGACACTTTTTGAGCAAAGTTAGCGGGCTGGACAAAGAGTGAGCCGGAAAAGCAACAGACCCGGGCGTGTGGAGTAGCGATTTCTGTTCCCCAGCACAGCAGAGAACTGCCAAGCATCGTGGGAGTCTGCGGCATATTTGGGACAGGACAAGATTGTTGCCACACATGAGCCATGGGAGCTGGTGGAGGGAGCAGTCCATGTGGGTTCCAGCTGGTGGGAAGGGTCCCCTGAGGAGTAAATCCCCCAGAGATGGAGGTGAGTGAAAGGGAAGAAAAGAGACATTTCTGCACATTCGTTATAAACCAGGCCCCCAAATGGGAAGAAACAGTATATTCGAGATTGGATGCACCCGATTATAAATGGAGCATGTGTAGGGGAGAAAAAGGAGCAGGTCGGCCAAATGATGTAAGATTTTAACGGGAAGAGATAGGCAGTTCCCTATGTGTCACCTCCAGGTATTTAAACCTGGGCCATTGAATTCAGGTTAACCACTCTGGAAGGCAGAGTAATATCCCTCCCCTCCCCAAAGAAGTCCATGTCCTAATTCCCAGAACCAGTGAGTATTTGATGTTATGTGGCAAAGGGGGATTACGTTTGCAAATAGAATTAAGGTTCACAATGAGCTGACCTTAGGATGAGATGACCCTGGTTGTGCAGGTGGGCCTGAGGTGAGCAGAAGGGTCTTCAGAGTGGGAGGAGTCCGTGTTAAAGACGCTGCACTGCTGGCTCTGAAGGGGGAGGATGAGGCCTGGAACCAGGGAATGTAGGGGTCTCTAGAGGCTGAAAAAGGCAAGAAAATGAAATTCTGCCCCAGGGCCCCTAGGAAGAACCATCTTGTCTCCAGCCCAGCGGCAGCCACTGCAGACTTCTGACCTCCAGGACGATGAGATGACACATTTGTGTTAAGTCACTTAGTTGGACTGACCCCAGGGAAGGCCTCCATATAAACTTCTAAGGTGCAGAAATCTGGTCTTGCCGCTGCCCAAGACGAGCCTGGTGAGTCAGTTCCCTTGCTTATTAAACCCACCACCTTCCCACTCTGAGTGATCTGCCTTTTTCTTTGGCCTCTCCCTGCCCTCCAAGTATGGGGACCCGTTTCTGATTACACCCAGGAAGCTCCCAAGGGGGTGGCGACCCAACACTCGTCCTGTCTTGAGAGGCCAGAAAAATGTGTTTTAAGAAATTGCACAAGAGTGAGTTTATTTGGATTTCTTTGTTCTTAAGTGTCACAGTTCCTGGGGCTGGAATAGTTTGGAAATAATCACATTTGCCTTGGGGTTGGAAGAGTAGAAGTACCCTCTACACATGCTTCCTCTATGTGACTTTCGCAATGGCCACGCTTGCCTCTCCCACCTCGGGATCCACGAGGGAAGGTGGGTGAGCACCCTCTACAACCACTGTCCACCCAGATTGCTAGCAGCCCATTGTGGAGTGAGCGAACGAACCTGAAGCACAGTTACTATACGGCTTACATTTGGGGGCAGGGTGAAGATGGCAAGGAAAGGAAAAGGTACCACCCAGATTTGGACCTCTCCGTCTTTACAGTCCTTCTACTTTGGTTTCTACCTTTACAGAGGAGGGCCACGTGCTTCTGGCCAGCGCTAGTTAACTGGAGGGGGAAGCAGAGCACCCGCTGTCCCACAGGAATTCGGCGCCTGCCCTGGTACTGCACTTCCCTGCACAGTGCTCAGCACGAGCAGGTATTCAGGATGGGAGCGGCGCTAAACACACACAGAAACAGCCTCGTGGCCCTTTCCTAAAATGACAGGACACTGGCCCTTTCAGTTTAATGAAGGGCAACCTAAGGGGTTAGGGACATAAGTGTTAGAGAACAAGAAAACATTCTTCCTTTTTTATTGCCATACACTAGAGGCCCGATGCATGAAAATTCATGCAAGAGTAGGCCTTCCTTTCCCCGGCTGCCGGCACCGGTTTCCCTCTGGCACCTGGGACCCGGGCTTCCCTCCTCAGGCCACCAGCAGGCACCCAGGACCCGGGCTGGCTTCCCTCCGGCCCGGCTTGGTTAGGAAGGATGTCCGGTCTAATTAGTGTATTACCCTTTTATTATTATAGATGTTAGATATTGTTCACAGTCACAAACATCTGCAGTTTTACTCTCCCAGAATCCTGGACCTGGGGAGGGTTTTAGAAACAAGAGGTACAAATGCTCTCAATGGATAGGCAAGAAAATCAGGACCCATGGGCTGGGACTTGCCCCAGACCACGCAGTGAAAACCTAAACCATGAGGTCTTGAAGCCACGTTCACGTTCTCATTATTGTTCCATGCTGAGAATTCTCGTTGGAAACAGGATAAAGGGCGTGGGATCTTTAGAACATGTGGGCTCAGGAACTTGAAGGTACGGATTTAATCCTTAAGCGGATAGGTCTTCCCAGTTTTACCCAAGATATATTTAAGCAACTCAGAGAAGTAACTCCTCCGGCCCAACTCAGAAGGGATAGGTACCGTGGCAGTCTTGGATCAACAGCAATGAAACTTAAGCCTTTTGCTGGGAAGAACAAACATCAAATGTAAACACCATCTCTCAAGTTCCTAGTAAATATTTTCCTTCTCTCTCTACCAAGCCTGTTTGTTTGTTTGTTTGTTGAAAATGGGAGGGGCATAGCAACTCCAACTTGCCTTGTCATAGGCCCTAATTCATTGTAGGGTTCATGATGACACCACCCTTAAGCATGGGGCTGCCAGAGCCAGAGCTGGCCACAGTTGCCTCTGCAGACGTGTTATTGTTACTATTGTGTGTGATTAGGGCCACTGAAAGGTGTAGTATGGGAATACGTGGGCCCTGGCCTGGCGGTTCAGTTGATTGGAGCTTCATCCTGTAGACTAAAGGTGGCATAGGAGGCAACCTATCGAAATTTCTCTCTCTCAAATCAAAAACATACCCTGGGATAAGGGTATGTTTTAAGAAGAATATGTGGCTGCGAAATTTAGGGCTGTGTGATATTTGCCAAATGTGACTCTCCCCTCGAAATATTCTCTGAACTGCTAACCATCCGCGGAAGCAGTGGTCCTTTCTTTAGCTGCTCGAGCCTGACACTCCACTTCCCTAACAGGATGGCTCAAGTCTTACCCGGAGGGGCAACACGGCGGGAGCCAGCACCCTCAGCAGTTACCTCTGAGCCTTTCCTCCGGGTCGTGGAGCCTGAAGGCCCGGGGAGCAACTGGGGTGCAGGATGCGCAGAGGGGCGCACGGGCGGTGCAGGGTGTCCCCGAATACAGCCCAGACGTCGCAGCTTTCAACAGGCAGGTCCTGGAGCAGCGCTCCTGTCTGTCCACCCTTCGATGGGATTGATCTGGAGCGACCCTGAGTTCGGGAGCGTCACGCCCCCGCGGGGACAGGAAGGCCGAGGGCCCGGGCGGAGCTACGGGCAGCCAGAGCCGCCTGGATCCCACGAGGCCGGAAGTGCCCCGCGTCGCCTGGGCTACAGGCGCCGACGCTTCCAGCGCGTCCTCCGCGTCCTGTTCCCATGGCAACCCCGTCTCCGGAGCCGGAACCCGGGCGGCCTAGGAAAGCCGACCTCGCAGAGCGTCTTGCTTCTGCAAAGGACCCTTGGGCGCCCCGAACAAGGTCCGCCCAGCCCAGGACGCCGCCGCCGCCGCCCAAGGGAGCGAAGCCGCCAGCCTGGGAGCCGGGAAGGCAGGTTCCGGGCGTGGCTTCTCCGCCCTCGGCCTGGTCCGCTGCCGGACGCTGGCCTTGAAGTCCCCTCGCGGGCTTTTCCCGCGTGAGTCTCTGTGGCCAGGGTACAAGCCGCAGGAAAGAAACCTGGGGAATCTCGGATGGGAATTGGTCTCCGATGGCATGTGGCCAAACAACTGCGGAAAAGGAGGAAGCGATTTGCAAGAGAGAGAGAGAGAGAGAGAGAGAGGCCAAAGTTTGGGTGTTATAATTCAGGGCCATGGTGAACCTCCCACGAACAACAGAATTTAGGAGTTTGGAGAGTCAAAACCCCTCGCCCTGGCCATAGGCTTGAAAGTAGAGAGCAGCAAGAGAAATTACGAAACTTGCCTTCTGGTTGTGGGATTGGAGATGTTCTGGAGCCCGAGTCAGAGAGAACTAGCTACTCCGCGCTCAGGGCGTGAGTGACCGGCTGCTCCGGGAAATGGGGAGCGACTTGGGGGTGTTATTGTCTAACAAATAACTGTGTATTCTATCTGGGGTTGATTTAAGCGATAGGAATAGCCATGAGAGTTGAATTTCAAAAATAACTATAAATCAAATTTTTTGTCATGAGTTTCAACCATTTACTCCATCAGCTAATGATAGCAACCCCTATATACACGTTGTTTTAGCTCTTTATAGTGGGATGGCCTGCGGACTAGGAGAATTAACCAATGCACTGGCCATACCTTATTTAGTCGCTGAGAGCTGATTGCTTTGCCTGGATCCATCTTGCTCTCAGACCTGCAATAGCAATATCAGACTTGAGTAGGAGATCAGAGTTTTGATGACTCAGGGGCTGTAAATGGACTGGCTTTAAGGATGTATAAAAGGGGAATTTTGGAGGTAATGCGGAGTAGCAATTAGGGGAAATATATTAAATTAAGAGACTTGACAAATGTCTTTAATTTCTGCTTTCCCGGTTCTCCGTACCTGAGTGTGAATAGTCTATTTGTGGGTTTGGTATGGGCAGTTTCATGTTAAGAGTAGCATCCAACACAGGGAAAACAGAACTAACTTCTAAGCCCTCTCTTCCAAAGCCGACTTCACGTGAGTCTTGGTAGGAAGAAGGTGTGGGCTAACCCCACTGGAATCCCAGCTGTGAGCAGTGGTACTAATTGGGACTTCTGCTTCTCCCTGCATGGACCACAGGACATTGACATCACACTCACTCACTCACATGAAACATCCGGCCCTCCCACTGGAGGCAAACCTGGTCACCTGGTCAGGATGCCTCTGGATAGGTTAGAACACACCTGGTTTTCCAGGATGCCTCTGGATAGGTTAGAACACACCTGGTTTTCCAGAATGCCTCTGGATTGGTTAGAACACACCTGGTTTTCCAGGATGCCTCTGGATAGGTTAGAACAGGGCTCTGGATGGCTGGTCATACCATTTTTCAAACCTGGTATAAAAGATTACACTTGACATTTATTCCCCCCACCCCCCTTTTTTTAACAGTTAACATTCATGACTTATCTAATCAGTGGAAAAGGAAGTTAAAAGTTTGTTTAAAACTATGCAGTGGTTGAACTTTTAAAAGCTGTTTTATGAATACAAAGATGATTCCTTTGGGGGACTTAATTATAATTAATTAAAAACCTTTGTTATTGCTCTTAAGTTCTCAGAATTCTATTTCTTCCGCATCACTTAATTGGTTTTTCTGTTCATTTTAAGATAGGGTTATCTCTTTTATTATATAAAATTAACTTTTTTGACTTTAAAAAAAAATTCTCACCCAACTGGTATGGGCCCCAAATGGAGATCAAACCCACAACCTGGGTATGTGTCCTGACAGGGAATCAAACCTGCGACCAGGATGACGCTCCAACCAACTGAGCCACATGGCCAGGGCTCTTTTGACTTTTATGTTTACTATTTCAATTAACCATTCATAATTATGTTTCAGAATGAAGTCAGACATCTACGTTGTGTGTGGGCGCGTGTGTTTGTGTGAGAGAGAGAAATGCAGGGGGAGAGAGGGAAGATTTTCAGCCCCCTCAGCTCTTTCTCAACACCTGTGTTTCTAACACAGTTGAGGAGGCCGTTCTCTGCACTTGACCCAGTGTGAGTTCCCTTGCCTCTCCTTGGTGGGACAACATTCTCTTTAGTTAGTTGGCCACTGCATGTGGAAGCTTTTAAGACATAGGAAAGAGGACATGGGAAGTCTAGCTTCAAAATGTTAGCTCCCTTCACCTTATTTCATTATATCTGTTTCCTGGTTTGGATCAGCATTTTATAACATGAAGGATCTTCGAGATCGTCCAGTTCAACCACCCTCAAGTCATGGAGCTAATCGAAACTATAATAGCCCATGGTAAAAGAGCAGTTACTAATAGCAGGTACCCTGCTCAGTGGTTTATAAGTATTATCTGATTGATCCCATAACCTCATCAGGTAGATATTCGTATTGACTCATTTTTAGAGAAGGCAATCGAGCAATAACTTGCTTAGGGTCATATGCTTAGTAAACAGTGGGGCTGTGGCCCTGATGTAGGTGGATGGTTCACCTAACCTGTTTAATCGGAACCACCACATTGCCGTCCTAATGCTGGGCGTTGAGGGTGACCTGAGTTTACAGCCTGTGGCTTTATTCCGTCACAGTTATTTTAGAAATCAGATCCACAGCCTCTGGTCGGGAGAGCTGTGTCCTCCAATTTTACCTTGTTTGATATATGCAAAGGTCAAATCTGGTTCCGTGTCTCTCTGGACACACAAGTCAGCAGAACAAGATCCCAGCACACCAGCAAACACAAGTTGGGTCTAAAGAGACTGAAGATACGAAAGCCAAGGAGAAGACCCTACACTGCATGGCTCTTCAATAGCTCAGCCGATTAAGGGGGAAAATGGTGAAATAAAAACTCACTGTGTTTTCGTTTCCATTTAAAGTATGTCCACGATTAGAGAAGCTCTGCCTTAGTTGGTGATTGAAGGACATGAAGGTACTCTTTTTTTTTTTAATCCTCACGTGAGGATTTCCATTGATCTTTAGAGAGAGAGGAAGGGAGGCAGGAGGGAGAGAGAGAGAGACAGAGAGAGAGAAATGTCAATGTGAGAGAGACACATTGGTTGGTTGCCTCCCGAACGTGCCCTGACCCAGGCTAGGGATCAAACCTGCAACCCAGGTACGTGCCCTTGACTGGGAATCGGGAATCGAACCTGTGACCTTCGGTGCTCAGGCTGATGCCCTAACCACTGAGCACACCGGCCAGGACATCCCTTCATTTTTTTAAAGCCTAAAATGGGCTAAAACAACTAACGCTCTGAAAAATTGCAAACCTTCAAGAGGGATGAAGTGCTTGCTGAGCCCCACTTAGTTTTGTTGCCATTAATCCTGCAACTGCTTTAAAACGGACAGAATTTATGAGCCGGCTCTCTGTGTAGGCGGGACGTGTGCGTCTGTGTGTGTTCATGCCTCGCTGCACATGTGTGTGTTTTATAGCCATCAGTCCTGCTCGCCTCGTTTCCCAAGACTTTTCCAGCATTGGGGCCTAGGGGTCAAGCCAAAAGGCGGATTTCTCTCCATAAACAGTCTTCCAGCAAGTACTGAGTGAGAGGCTGAAGTACGTACAGGAAATTCTGTGGAGAGCACTTTGGGAAGCAGAGTATAAGGTACAGGAGGCACAGGCTCTGCCTTCAGAGAACTTACAAGCTCATGCGGAAGGTGAGCTACGGACAGCCGCGACAGGAGGCACCCACTCTTCATTCCTTTGTGTCAGGCACCATTTAATCCCTTCTCATGGATTAATGAAATGAATCCTTGCAACAACCATACACCATAGAAGGTATTGTCATTACCATTTTATAGGTGAATAAGGCACAGATAGGTAGAGGAACTTGTCAAGGGCACATGGGTAGTAGTCAGTGGCTAAGCCAGGATCTGTCCCCGGGAAGTCTGGCTCTCCCACCTGTTCTTTCGGTCTCCGTGCCACGCTGGAGATGATGGTCAAAGACGACGTAAGAATCTGCGAAGACTGGGTGGCTTGGGCAGGTCCCATCTGACCTGAGTCAGAGTAAAAGGCATCAATGGCGGAATCACATCCCAAACTAAAGCCAAATGATTGCTGGGTGGCCAGCCTCTGGACCCCGTTTCCAGCTCATCAATACTCCCTGCGGGTCCTGAACCCCAGGCTGCAGCACGGGCGTCGCTGCCACCCTGACTTTCACCTCGGGAACTGCGGCACTGTTGGTGCAGGAGGAGGGGGTGTCCCCGGCCTGGGAGGGCAAGGAGAGGAAAATTGCTTCATCTTGGAGCAGACCGTGGAACTGGGAGGCGATTAGGGAACCAGATCTCCAATCTGAGCATCTTGCCTGGAGAGAGAAAAAAGTCTCATACATATACATAGAGGCACTGGTATTTTTCCATTAAAAAAAAGGGTGTTTTCTTAAAATTAATACAAAGCAAATTCATTTCAGAGTATTGAGACTGCCATGAACTTTCTCATGTAGGAAATGCCATGAAAATATTACCACAAGGTGAGATTTTTGTAAGCGTAAAAAAGTGCTCTTTGCAAAGGTTGGAAAACACTTGTCTACAGCGGTGGTCTCCAAACGAGAATTAGCTTCCTTATCACTAAAAAGAACCTGAACAAACACGCTCTGTACAGTATTCACTATGTACAATGGTACTGATATATTCTGTAATGTAAATATTCATAAAAATAAAAAACAAAGCTAAGATAAGGGAGTAGCAGTGAAGTGCTGACTTTCCCTACACCTATGGCACCTGGCACACCTGGAGACATATATGCACCTCACATTGCAGACCAGGGTGGGTGCTGGGAGGTGAAAGGACTGACTTCCCCCTTTGGGGCTGACTTTAAAGTTTAATGAGCTGTTTTAAATCAAGATCCTCGTTCGGTTTGCTTAAGCCGCATTGGTCACCAGCTCCGCTTCACCTGGAGGACCCAAATGTAGGCATGGTCTAGTGGAGACAAGGAACTCCAGGACTCGTTAGCTGCTGAGCTCAGAAGAAAAGTATTCCTCCTGGGCTCTCAGCGGGCACCGGGCACTGGGGGCCAGAGGGGCCGGTGTGCAGAGCCCAGAGCAGCCTTCTCTCGTTTCCATTCACGAGCCAGGTTCACCGTTCTCCTTCCCACCGACCCAGGGAGGCATCTCGGTCTGGTTCCTGTGCTCCCTCCTGACACCCTCCCCAGGGCCCACCTGGCCGTGGAAACGGATGGAGGTAGTTGTGCTCATAAGCGCCTGTGCTTACAGAGGGCCTTTCTCAGCAAGCTCAAACACAGTGCCTGGCCTAGCCCGGCTCCTTCCTGGACCACCTCCGTGCGTTTTGTACAGGGACAGCTTCTGTGAGTATTGTTGTCATTTACAGTTGGAGGATGGAGGAGCTTTGTGGGTTGAAAAGGTCACGTGGCATCAGCGGCAGAATTGGGGGTGGGATACTCGGCTCCCACGCGGTCTGTCAGAGATCTTCAAACAGAGGCCCCGACCGTTGCTGGGTGGTTGCAAGGAAGCACTTGGGGAGATTCCTGGAGCCCGTGCCTACAGGAGGGTGGGGAACCTTTTCTCTGCCAAGGGCCATCTGGACATTTATAACATCACTAGGGGCCCGGTGCACGAATTCATGCACAGGTGGGGTCCCTCTGGGTGGCCTGCAGGGATCGGGCCGAAACCCGCAGTCCAATGCCGCCTGCAGCTCCTACCTGCTGCTCCCGCTCATCCCGGCCCCACTGTGCCTGCCGTGGGCTCGAGCCCAATCAGTCCCCCATCG